CGAGTCAGGTGTTTGCTGCAGCGTCCAGGTCTGGTCCTGAGTCTGCCCCCTGCTCGTGTCGTCTCCTGTCCCACCAGACTCTCCTTTGGCACCACCGCCTTGGTCACCCCTCCCTGCCTCGTCTCCGAGGGATGGCCTCACGTGTCCTTGTCTCTGGTCTCCCCCGGTCCCTCCCTCCCCTACCTCCTGGGCCTGCCCCTACCTGCATCCCCTGCGTCGAGGGGCGGCAGCGCGCTGCCCCTCACTCCTCCGAGTTTCCTCCGACAGAGTCTCCCTTGCAGACTCTTCACATGGACGTGTGGGGCCCCGCCCGCGTCCGTGGCCAGGGTCACCAGCGTTACTTCCTGTTGGTGGTTGACGACTACTCGCGTTACACCACGGTGTTTCCCTTGCGCAGCAAGGGTGACGTCACTGAGGTGTTGATTGACTGGATCCGCGCAGCTCGTCTCCAGCTCAGAGAGAGTTTCGGCTCGGACTTTCCTGTTCTACGTCTGCACTCTGACATAGGCGGAGAGTTTTCCTCTGCCCGTCTGGGAGCCTTCTGACGTGCACATGGCATCCGCCAGACCTTCACGCTTCCGGCCTCTCCACAGCAAAATGGGATTGCTGAGCGCCGCATTGGCATGGTCATGGACGTCGCTCGTACGTCCATGATCCATGCGGCTGCTCCCCATTTTCTGTGGCCGTTTGCAGTTCAGTACGCAGCGCATCAGCTCAACCTTCAGCCCCGGGTCTCCTTGCCAGAGACCTCCCCCACCTTGCGGTGAACGGGGAAGGTTGGCGATGCGTCTGCGTTTCGGGTCTGGGGATCTCGGGCGTTTGTCCGCGACTTGTCTGCGGACAAGCTGTCCCCCCGTGGTGTTCCCTGCGTCTTCCTTGGATTCCCCCCGGACGTGCCTGGTTGGCACTTTTACCACCCCACCTCGCGTCGTGTTCTGTCCTCCCAGGACGTCGCCTTTGACGAGTCGGTGCCTTACTACCGTCTCTTCCCCTAAAGCACTGCGCCCCTCCCCCCGCCGCCGCTCTTCCTTGCACCAGGTCCTCCCCCGATAGACCCCGTCAGGTGTGTCCCAGGTAGACGCAGTTGAGCCTGTCGAGGTAGCTGTTGACTCTGGTGCTACTAGGGGCGCTGTGCCTGCGGGTGTCGGGTCTGAGGGTGCGGAGCCTGGGGGTGCTGAGTCTCGGGGTGCTGAGCCTGGGGGTGCTGAGTCTGGGGGTGCTGAGACTGGGGGTGCGGAGCCTGGGGGTGCTGAGCCTGGGGGTGCGGAGCCTGGGGGTGCTGAGCCTGGGGATGCGGAGCCTGGGGGTGCTGAGCCTGGGGGTGCTGGGTCTACTCGTGTGGCCACTAGCGGTGCTTCGTCGAGGCGGGAGCTCCTCTCTCCGCAGGAGCTGCACGAGTGGTTTGCCCGGCGCTGGAGCCGTGCTGCTCGAGCTGGAGGTACTACTGTTGCTGCTGGTCCTGGAGGTGCTCCTCCTGGCGGTTCAGGAGCTGCTGGGACTGGGAGTCCTCCTGGAGGTGCTACTGGAGCTGGTGCAGCTGGAGCTACTGGAGCTGCTGGAGCTAGAGCTGCTGGGGGTGTTGGCGCTGGTGGTTCTGCTGGCGCTGGTGCTTCTGAGGGTGCTGGAGTTGGCGCTGGTGCTTCTGAGGGTACTGGAGTTGGCGCTGTTGGAGTTGGAGGTGCTGCTGGCGCTGGTGCTACCGCTGGGGATACTGGTGCTGTTCCTGCTGGTTCTGGAGGCGCTGCGCGTCCGAGGCCGTACTTCGTTCCGCTCCTTGAGCAGATTCTTTGTCTCCCGCCCTCTACTGGTCCTGCTCCTTCCTTAGCGTGTCCACAGCCTGTCCAGTCGCGGTCACAGTTACAGCCCGCCTCCCCCCCGCCTGCTCCTTCTCCCTACACTGGTCCTTCTGGAGGTCTTGCTGAGCGTCGTGAGCCTGCGTCTCGTCCTGCGTCGCCTGTTCGTGCTGCTCGCATTAGTGGTCATGCTCCGCGTCCGCGTCTTCCTGCTGTCCCCGGCACACACCAGATGGCACTGCGTCCGTCCACTGCTCCTATGCGTGTCCTGTTGCCGTCTCCTCCAGAGTCCTCTCTTCCTAATTTTGCTGACCCTGAGTCTGACTCTCTTCGTGCTGCCAGTCCTACTGTCACGCGTCTCCTGGCTACTGTTGTCACTGACCCTTCTTTTGAGTCTACTGTTGTGTCTGCCTTAGTTGCTGAGATTGTCGACTTCGCTCCTCGCTGTCGTCTAGACTACGCTGCTAGTCTTGTTGCTGACTCTGAGTCTGTCTGTCCTCCGTCCGTCAGGGGTGAGTGTGCTCTTAGCACGGACGTCCTTGAGGACAGGCAGGAGGAGTTCCAGTGTTTTTCTGCTGCTTTGCCTCATCTCGTGTCCACGCTGATTGCCCCTGAGGGAGACCTGGATGCACCAGACATCCCGACTCCTCGATCGTACGCTGAGGCGATCGAGGGTCCCTACTCCTCACAATGGCAGTCAGCCATAGACGTAGAGATGGCTTCCTGGAAGTCCACAGGCACCTACGTCGACGAGGTTCCCCCACCTGGGGCGAACATCGTCAATGGTATGTGGATTTTCAGGGTGAAGCGGCCGCCTCGTTCTCCGCCTGTCTTCAAGGCGCGTTACGTGGCTCGAGGCTTCAGTCAGCGGCAGGGAGTTGACTACTTTCAGACCTTCTCCCCTACCCCGAAGATGACCACTCTTCGGGTACTGCTGCACATAGCTGCTCACCGTGACTACAAGCTTCACTCTCTTGACTTCAGCACAGCTTTCTTGCAGGGCAGCCTGCACGAGGAGATCTGGCTGCGCCGCCCACCTGGCTTCACTAGGTCGTTCCCTCCTGGTACCCAGTGGAGCCTCCGGCGGCCAGTCTACGGTCTCCGCCAGGCGCCACGTGAGTGGCACGACACACTGAGGACTACACTCGCGGCTCTTGGGTTTGCTCCCTCTACTGCCGACCCGTCGCTGTTTCTGCGCACCGACACCTCTTTGCTGCCGTTCTACATCCTCGTGTACATCGACGACTTGGTCTTTGCCACTGCTGACACTGCTGGACTCGCCCACGTGAAGTCTGAGCTGCAGAAGAGACACACGTGCACAGACCTGGGTGAACTGCGCAGCTACCTTGGCTTGAAGATCACTTGGGACAGAGCATAGCGCACCATTACCCTGACTCAGTCACACATGGTGCAGCAGGTCCTTCAGCGCTTCAACTTCACGTACTCCTCGCCTCAGGCCACTTGCTCTCAGCTCTGCCTTCGGATGAGTCCGTAGAGCCGAGTGGCCCGTACCCAGAGCTTGTTGGCTGCCTCATGTACCTGATAACCTGCACACGACCTGACCTAGCATACCCTCTTAGCATCTTGGCACGCTATGTGGCTCCTGGGAGACACCGACCAGAGCACATGGCTGCAGCGAAGAGGGTGTTGCGCTACTTGTGCAGTACGTCGGGCATGGGGCTAGTGCTTGGATGGCGACGTCCAGTGGTCCTCACAGGTCACGCAGACGCTTCTTGGGCTGACGACCAGGCTACGCAGCGGTCGTCACAGGGTTACACCTTCAGCCTTGGTTCCGGCTCTGTCTCGTGGCGGTCTACCCGCTCGTCTTCTGTTCTCGGCTCCAGTTGTGAGCCTGAGATCTATGCAGGGGCCATGGCTGCACAGGAGTTACGCTGGCTCACCTACCTGCTGACTGACCTAGGAGAGCAGCCTCGTTCTCCTCCAGTTCTGTACGTAGACAACAAGGCCATGCTGGCCTTGTGTCGGGAGCACAGACTGGAGCACAGAACCAAGCACATTGCTCTTCGTTACTTCCTTGCTCGTGAGCTGCAGCAGCGCGGTCAGCTACGCCTTACTTACGTGGGCTCTGAGGCCAACACTGCTGATATCTTTACCAAGGCACTTCCGCCTTGTGATCATCAGTGCTTTTGTACTTTGCTAGGTCTTGTGCCTACCTGGCCTCACTTGCTCACCTCTTGATTTTGCTTGTACTGTGATCTATATATACCTGCGCTTGCATGCTTACCCTTGCTAGGTTGAGATCACTGCCTTGCTTGTTCTTCTTGATGTATAACTCTGCATGTGAACTGGCCTTGTGGCCTTGTGCTTGTGCTCAGATTGTGTTGTGACGTTGTGATCCACCCTGGGCTTGCTTTGTTTCTCTTGACTGGTTTTGTGACCCCTTGTTCTCCCCCACTTTGCCTATGGGGGTGTGTCGAACTTATATGCTATAGTCTGTTTAGGCTGTAGTGGGGTAGTAATTATGGGGTACAACACTTTAGGGTTTCCTACTTGTACTCCTCATGCTGCTCAATGCAATCATTCCTTCCTCAGATTCTCACAAATCATACACCCCCCCCCCCCTCCCCCCCCCCCCCCCCCCCCCCCCCCCCCCCTTTCATAATTAAAAAATGTCGTAGCATAGTGTTTTTAACAATACACCATATGGTGTACTATGGGGGGATTGTGACACATGTACTCATGATTTTTTCTACAATTCATACGACCAAATCAATAATGTTTTGGCCACGTATTATCAATCCATCTAATGACCATTGACCAGATTTGACGTCAAGAGCAATTTATGCAGCCAAACTATTATTGCATTGCTAACAGAATGTTATCACCAATGACATTTTGCGATGATGTTTAATTGGTATCATGCTTCGCATTATGGCTATTGGCAGCACCACATAGAGCTTTTATGACCAATAGTGGAAAATCACGAAGCCTGGACTTAATAAATAATTAAAACCCGTCTTCAAACTACCGAAGTACGGTAAGTATCACCGGAAAATAAAGAGTTTGACTAGCTTTGGATGCAAGCAAGTCTCGAGATCAATCAGACCATTAATTTTTTTGCATGAACCTTGTTCAACACTACTCTCACTCCAATTGCTTTGCTCCAGCCATTGCAACAGTCGCTGTTGCAATTTGCCCATTGACGGGGGTGGGGGGCGCATATTCGACTAGTGGGAGGACGATGGTCTAGAGAGGCATGGCATGGCCAAATGGAGGGAGGGAAGGTGGGGGAAAAGGGAGGGAGGGGCAAGGGGGAAGGCTGAACAAATTTTGACGAGAGGTAGAGGTGGAGAGGATGCGGAAGAAGAAGAAGGCAGCGGCGGCGGCGGCGGCGGCGGGGGGGTGGGTAGCGGGGCGGGTGGCAGGGTGGGCGGCGAAGCAAGCGGGGGGGCGGGCGGCGAGGAAGTAGCGGACGGGGCGGGCAAGATGAGTGGCAAGGAGGAGGGGAAGCAGGAGGGGAAGCAGGAGGAAGGCGTAAAAGAAGAAAGACGAAGACGAAGAAAGAAGAAGAGTCTGGAAGGTAAAAAAAATGAAAGGGCAAGAGATAATGGAACGGAGGAGGATGAAGAAGAGGAGGGGGGTGGAGGGATGTGCGAGAGAGGAGGAACGTAGAGAAAAGCGCGGAGAATGGGAAAGGGGAGAAAGAAAGAGAGCAAAAGAGAGTGAGCAAAGGAGATGAGAACGAGTCATGAGAGAGCAAAAAGAGGAGATGCCATAGGACAAAGGGGAATGACAACTAAAAACGATAGAGGGGGCCGAGGAGGGAAAGGAGACTGAGGAGGGAAAGGCACTCCACTGCCTCTTATTGCGCAGACTTATTTTGCTTGCATGGAGATGTCCTGGCCCGCGCACCTCTTCCGCTTGCCTCATTCACCCTCGAAACCTGAAAAACGAGACTGCCATAAACTGTGGGACGCATCTGACATCTGCGTGCCGATGATTTGAGACGCATGAAATTGCGTCTCCGTCTGACTCACATCCACTTGTGCTTCACTCATACGGGTCTCTACTGCCATCCTTTTCCTGTCTTAACCATTTGCGCCATTGTTGCTTACACCACCATCCCCTCTCTCTATATCTTCCTGCGCCCTCATATCTCCATCACCCTCTACTCGCACGCGCTGCACCTCCTAAACATCATCATCACTTGATGCGCCTTCTTCGTCCTCACCTTCCTCGGCATTCTCCTCACCCTCCTCCTCGCCCTCCTCCTCCTCGCCCTATTTGCCACCCTCCTCCTCCTCGCTCTCCTCCTCGCCCTCCTCGCCACCCTCCTACTCGCCCTCTTCCTCATTCTCCACCTTGCCCTCCTCCTTGCCCTCCTCCTCGCCCGCTCCTCGTCCTCCTCGCGCACTCCCTCGTTGCCCTCCACTTTGCCCTCCTCCTCGCCCTTTTTCTCCTGCCTCGCTTGCACAACGCTGTTCAACCGGTGCATCTTCTAGAGCCATTGGGCAGCGTTGTACGCCTGAAGGGGCATTAAGGTGGAGATTTTGCGAAAGATTTGAACCATGTACGCGTGGCACCACCGCGTAACATCACTTCTACTTGCTCACACTAACTTTCACCTCGTTGCCCTCGCGTCTCTTCTCATTCCTACTCGACTCTCCCCCTTCACCACCCACATGACCTCCACTTGTCTCCTCCTGTCCGTGATCCACCTTTGCCTTCGGCTTCTCTTTGCCTAATGCTGTCCTCCCCCTTTCTGCCTATTATGTACGACCTTCCCCTTCTTGTTGTTTGCCACCTTCCCCCTCCCTTCGGTCGCCTCCCCCTCCTCCTTATCCACCTCCTTCCCACTAACAAAGAAGCGTCCCCTGCGCTTAGCGCCACCATCTCCCGCAACCGCCGCGGTTGCGCCTCAAGAACCCACCTCGCAGGGAGCAACTACAGTAAGTATGGTAGCAACAAGGAAGGCAGCAGTGCAGGTGGAAGCAACGCGGGTGGCAGAAGCACGGGTGGCAATAGGTGTGGTAGGAGCATGTGTGGAAGAAGCAGTTGTGGCAGCAGCGGGTGTGGCGGCAGCGGGTGTGGCGGCAGCAGGTGTGGCGGCAGCGGGTGTGGCGACAGCGGGTGTGGCGGCAGCGGGTGTGGCGGCAGCCGGTGTGGTGGCAGCGGGTGTGGCGGCAGCGGGTGTGGCGGCAGCGAGTGTGGCAGCAGCGGGTGTGGCGGCAACATCTGTAGCATCAGCAGGTAGAAGTAGGTATGGCAGCCACAAGTGTGGCAACAGCAGTTGTGGCAGCAACAAGTGTGGCAGCAGTGGTTGTGGCAACAATAAGTGTGGCAACAACATTGAAGAGATGGATAGCGAGCGTCCACAACGGAGAGCTGCTCATGGTAGCCGACACTCCCTCTAACGGCCAAAGATAATAGGCAGATCCAAAAACATCAATGTACGATTGGAGAACATAAAATATGCATTCGTCTCAACAACACCACCATCCTCTCATCCTCTCACCAACACCACCATTCTCTCACAAACACCAACATCCTCTAACCAACACCACCATCCTTTCACCAAGATCAACACCCTCTCAGCAGCACCACTACCGTCTCACTCACCAGCACCACCATCCTCTCACCAACACCACCATCCTCTCACCAACACCACCATCCTCTCACCAAGACCACCATTCCCTCACCAACACCATCATTTTTTCACCAACACCACCATCCCCTAACCAACAGAACCATTGTGAAAGCTTGTTATTTGCCAAATGGTCAAGTACAAGATTTATCGTCCAACCATTTTACATCATAAGAAGTGCATCACATCTCATTCTAGGGTGGGGGGGGTTGGGAACTTGAAGATCGAAAGTTCGAAAATGAAAACGTGGGTGAAGGCCAAATGGCCTTCGCCCCCTCTTTTATGCTGAAAAGAGGGGGACTAGAGTTTCGCCAAACCCTTTGCTTCGGTACAATTCGCTTCAATGTGCACAATACACATTAATATATATATATTTATATATATATATCATCTAACCAATACCACCATCTTGAGTCTTCACTTCACCATATTGCACAATGCCGAGGGCTCCCCCTAAAGGCAAGCTTCTAGTTGATGTTCCTCCTCAAGGACAACACTGCTGATCCACCAGCTGTCCTGCTAGCACCACGCTTACAGGTGGACAAGGGCTTGTCGATATTGCTGTGTCGAAGTTTAGGAGTAGAAAGTTTAGAAGGAGAAAGAGGGTTTTCACTAGCAGCAACGAGGATACATGTAGCAAACCCTAGATGGGTTGTACTCGCTATAGAGCATCCCACTATAGGCTAGAGAATAACATTCTGACACACCCCCATAGCCAAAGTGGGGTGTAATCAGTACAATGAGCAAGCAGGTATAGAGCAGGAGTTCTCAAAGGTAAGCAAAGCTAGAGCTAATCACAGCGGGCAAGTGAGGAGGAGGAGGAGCTGTGGAGGGAGAGAAGATGGGAGGCAACGACTGAAGCTGCAGAGGCACGGGCACAGGAGCGGCTGACTCAGAGGCTACCGAAGCAAGGGTGACGGACTACTGGAGTGACTGGCTCCGCGGCTCTAGACGAGCGGCAGGAGCAACGGACCCACTGGCGACTGGTGCAGCAGGCTCACTAGCTACCGAAGCAAGGGCGATGGACTACAGGCGCTGCAGGCGACAAGACAGCTACCTTCACAAAACCTCCTCCAACTGCCCCACACCCTCGACACACACCCACTGCTCAAACCCTAGTTCCACTCCCAAGGCACCCCCCTTAAACCCTAGACCCCAGTCTCCCACTCATCCACCCCCCTCAGCGAGAGCTGCAGCAGTGGGAGACGAAGTAGGAGGAGGAGAAGGGGACGGCGCGCACAACCGACACCAGCACAACCACCACCCCCACACCCCTCACCCCCAAAACCCTAAAACGGGTGGGATAGGGGCAGGAGCGCGGGGGACGGCGATGGGAGGGACGGCGCACGACCCCCAGGGCGCCAAAACGGACAGGCGCTGCGGGGGGGTGGCGCGCGCGGCTCCCCAGGGTGCCGCGACGGACAGGCAGGGGGCGGGCGCGGCTCCCCAGGGCGCCACGACGGACAGGCAGGGGGCGCACGTGGCTCCCCAGGGCGTCGCGACGAGCAGGGCGGGGCCGCGCGTGCGCCTTAGAGCGCCGCGACGAGCTGGGCGGGGGGCTGCGCGTGCTCCCCAGGGCGCTGCGACGGACGGGCGGGGCGCGCGCAGGCTCCCCAGGGCACGAAACCGCCGCGCGCCTCTGGGCGCCGGCGGGCAGAAAACCGCCGCGCGCCCCGAGCGCACGGCGGGATGAAAAACCCTAAAATGTTTCGCCGCGCGGAGCGCGCGCGGCAGGAAGGAGACAGCGCGTGCCCTAGGCGGGCCCACCCACAGGATCGACCCAAGGGGGTCGACCTGCTATGATACCATGTCGAAGTTTAGGAGTAGAAAATTTAGAAGGAGAAAGAGGGTTTTCACTAGCAGCAACGAGGATACATATAGCAAACCCTAGATGGGTTGTACTCGCTATAGAGCACCCCACTACAGGCTAGAGAATAACATTCTGACATGCTGATGATGCTTAAATGCATGGAAGCTGCATCGGTTTGTTCCACTCGAAGATGACCAATGAAATAGGTCACCACCTTCCTCATCTACCCGAAGATGATGCACAGCATCATATGTCTGCCGTATGTGCGGCCGAATCATCACATGAGAAGTTGTACTAGGCGGATGACTTGGTGTCCATCGGTTGACGGCCAACCAGATGCTCCGCCAAGACTTGTATGAATTCACCGAAGGCAATTTTGCCAAGAAATGAAGGCAAATAGCCTAACTATCCTACCAAAAGATCATGATTTTAAACCAATTACTTGAGTAGTGTAACACGCATCCATGGAGTACTACCACACATAAGCCTTATCCCATATCAGGGCAGCCTTGGTCTATCACGAAGTGCACCAGAATCATGTAGAGCAATATTAGGACATCGTTTTGCAGAGACCAATGCGCAACTTGCATGCATCTTTGGATTACTACTTAGTAGGTTAAGTAGCTGCGCTGCCGAACTTCGGTCTCCCGGGCAAGTCGCTATGTTCCATAACGACGATGTTGGTCTTGGACAGGTCAAGGTTGTGGTAAGTCGTGTTATGAATATCTCGTCTACATTCTCATCGGTGCTGCCAAGACTAGGAATTTACTATGAATTGCAAAAGTCTCCTACGGTTCCTAACCCGCTAAAAAAATGCAGCACTTATGAGTTCAACATCCTCCATAGAAGGAGGACACGAGCAGTAGATCGAGAGAAATAATAGAGTCAAGCGAGAACACTCGAAAGAGCTAGAATAGAAAGACCACAAAGAGGGAGGCAATTGCGTATTTAGTTAATGGATGGGAGGAAATACAAGCAACCAAGTAGCAAGAAAGAAGAGGTGTTCATTGGTTAGGTGGGTCGTGGATGCCCGATTGATCCTGGAGAGGGTTACACTGTGGATGCCCGATAGATCCTGGAGAGGGTTACAGGCGCGTTCGCCTGGGGGGTTATGGGCGCACTGACCCGCTACTGAAACAAGTGTCGGATTATTATAACTGATGCATGTTTGTAGGCTATAGTGGGGTAGCACATATGGGGTACAGCTTTCTAGGGCTGTATTTGTACCCAACTCTGACTTAGTCATTTTCATTCCTGTTTTCCTTGCTTCACATGGTATAGAGCGGGTCCTGCCTTAGGACCGTTTTTTTAGGGCCCACCGAAGCGCGCCCCGAGGCGCGCCCTTTTTTTTTTTTAGCGACCCCTCGGGTCGCCTTTTCCCTCGCGGCCCCGCTGTCCCTCAGACGCGGCCCCGCCACCTCTCCTGATCGCGGCCCCGCCGCCTGCTTGACGCGGCCCCGCCGCCTCCCCTGACGCGGCCCCGCCGCCTCCCCTGACGCGGCCCCGCCTCTACTGCCGCGGCCCCGCCGCCGCCTCTGACGGCCCCGCCGCTGCACCTGACGGCCCCGCCGCTGCACCCTACGACCCGCCGCTGCTCCTGCCGGCCCGCCGCCTCACCTGACGGCCCGCCGCTGCTCCTGCCGGCCCGCCGCTGCACCTGCCGGCCCGCCGTTGCACCCAGCGGCCCGCCGCCTCTGACGGCCCCGCCGCTGCACCCTACGGCCCGCCGCTGCTCCTGCCGGCCCGCCGCCTCACCTGACGGCCCCGCCGCTGCTCCTGCCGGCCCGCCGCTGCTCCTGCCGGCCCGCCGCTGCACCTGCCGGCCCGCCGCTGCACCCAGCGGCCCCGCCGCTGCACCTGCCGGCCCGCCGCTGCACCCTACGGCCCGCCGCCTGCACCTGCCGGCCCGCCGCTGCACCTGCCGGCCCGCCGCTGCACCTGCCGGCCCGCCGCTGCACCTGCCGGCCCGCCACTGCACCGGTCGACCCGCCGCTGCACCTGACGGCCCCGCCCCTGCATCTCCCGGCCGAGCCGCCCCAGCAGCCGAACCGCCCGGGAGCCGAGCCGCCCAACGCCGAGCCGCCCGAGACCCGAGCCGCCCTGCCGCCGAGCCGCCCGGGAGCCGAGCCGCCCTGCACCCGAGCCGCCCAGCCGCCGAGCCGCCCGGGAGCCGAGCCGCCCTGCGCCCGAGCCGCCCAGCCGCCGAGCCGCCCGGGAGCCGAGCCGCTGTGCACCCGAGCCGCCCGGTCGCTGAGCCGCCTTTCTGCATAGCTGCACGACCTGCCCTGCCTGGTGAGCACAGTCCCACTGACACTGCAAGCTCTTTCCCTACTGCTTGCACTGCGTCGCTGTCGTCGCCATGGCTACCCCTAGTGTCCTAGCTTTTGACGCTAAGGGTCGCGCCATTGATTTTGAGGTCTGGTTAGACGACCTGCAGCTGTTCTTACAGTGCGACAGGGCTGACGACCTTTCTCTCTTTGACCTCACCTCTGGCGCCTCTCCTGCTCCTGCTGCTGATGCTGATCCCGCTGTCCGCTCTAAGTGGGCCACCCGCGATGCTGCTGCACGTCTTGCTGTGCGTCACCACCTCCCTACCTCTGAGCGTGCGCACTTTAGTCAGTACAAGAGTGCTCAGACCTTGTACGACGCTGTAGTTGCGCGCTACTCCTCCCCTGCCACTGCTGCACTGAGCCGTCTCATGCTTCCCTACCTCTTTCCTGACCTCTCTGCCTTTCCCACTGTCGCTGACCTCATTACGCACCTCCGCACTAGTGACACTCGCTACCGCGCCGCCCTTCCTGCTGAGTTCTGCGCTAAGAACCCCCCCCCCCATGTACATCGCTCTCTACTACGTAGTCGCGCGCCTCCCTGACTCCCTTCGCGTCGTCAGGGACCA